TTCTGTCGTTTCTTCCTTGCTCACTATTAAGGTATGAGAACGAAAAAAACAGAGTTACCTGATAAGATTACTACGACTATACATTTTACTTATAATGGCTGGTTATCTCATGTACACGCTGATATAAAATGTGTCGTATACGTCGTATTTGGCCGCATAGCACCCAACACCATCTTGTGGGTGAGGGTAGGTGTGGATGTAGACTTTAGTCTTCATTCGTATCCATACTCAGAACCAGACGCACACCCGCACCCACACCCTCAAGTTAAAATACAGTCATTCGATTTTTCGATATATATCATGATCATATGCTAAAGTTTCAGTAAAATGGCTTCAACTCGACATAGGCACTTAGGTTTTTTCGACATCTATAAACCTTATGAGAGTTTATCCAATGTGTAAAGACCGAACTGAACCGCGTTTATCAGTTGCGTCAGTTCTCTCGTCAGAAATGCTAGAAAATACATTATCAATGACTTTCAATATTTTACAGAGTGGCGACTAATGCATGATTCACACTTTATGCCTGTATTTTGTTTTTTGTTCATAATTCAATATCAATACACTTTTGATTAAAAGTAAACATCAACTGTATCAAAAAATTCAGTATAAGCGTTGTCCAATCCATAGAAAATAATTTTTCATTTCGCACATGGAATAATCGAAAACAAACGACACTTCTACAACAACACAAAATGGTCGCACATCATTTTCGCAATGAGAGAAAGTGTACAGGCTAAGTACACTTTAAATATGTGAAGTGTTAAGAAGAAAAAAAAGTAATGTTTGTGCACATATAAATGAAATTTTCTCTCTTTTTACCAACAAAACTAATACAATTAGAATATGCTTCTCTGGAAAAAAATATGTTTATGAAATAAATACTCGATAGAAACAGTCAGAAAAGAATAACGTCTATAGGAAGCATTCTCGCAATGTCACACCCTAGCTTTTGCTCCTGCTGCCATGAAGATGCAAGATTCGTTTGCTCTGGATGCCAGACAGTGTTTTGTCAGTACCATACTAATGAACATCAAGAAACGTTGGATCGACGACTGCAGTCATTGGGGATAGATACAGATCAAATAACCAATCAGTTGTCCGAGGAACAAATTCAATTAGAGTACGTGAAGTGTTGGGCCGACATTGATTTGTGGGAACAAGGAGAAATCGAAAACATTCAACGAACCGCCAATCTTATGCGACAGGAAGTGACTGATGCCGTCGGCGAGTGTTTATTTCAGCCAAGACAACAATTAGATTTACTTTTGGATTCACTCGATTTGGCACGTTTGAAACTAAAAAAGTTCGATGAAATTGATTTGAATCAGTGGGAAGAACTTCTCGATCGTGTCAAGAAGCTGGCCAAATTCATTGTTACTCTCAGCAATTTCGATGATGGACTTGAGTTGTTAGTTACAGGCAAACAACTAGAGGATCTCACTTCTTTCGAAAATAATGCTCGACATTCTATTGGTCTTGTACCAATCAGTTATCTACAACTGCAACGTATCAATCATACCGAGATGAACGAGCAAACAAATCCAACGGCACAACATCGCTTCCATCCGATCCATAGCAGGCAAGCACAAGAAAGTCGAAACTTGATTATTCCGGTAGTAGGATACGAATATCGAAATAATCAAAGACCAGTAGCACAGTTGCGTCGACCTGCAGCTTCTGAAATTCCATTTGAACGTCGAAGTTTCTATCCGTTACGATGGCGAGTCAATGTTTGAACACTCCAAATGATACAAACTGATAAACAATTTATACGCTAATACATATTTTATGAAGACAAACTGCGATGTGGTTTGTGTAGTTTTTTAGTGTACACCTTTTCGAAAACTATTTTTTGAAAATAATAATCTTAAAGATGAAGGTCTTTGTCTAGCCGTAGGGTGTGAGTGTAGGTGTGGGAGTGGGTGAGGGAGAAATGATCACACCCACATCCTGAAGATGGTTTTGTGAGGGTTCTAGAACGCTCTTTTATTTTTTGTGAGTGTCTGAAGAAATAGACCGCAGATTCGAGTTTTCCGCATTGAAATACTTCCAGAAATGCGTTTTTTGAAATACTCGAGTTCTATTTGTTCTCACGTTCACCCAGCTTCTCACCAACGACGTCTTCATCCCTAGATACTTGTCCAAGGCAATTGAGCTTATATTCGAATTCCTAGACTACGAAAATCTGTTACTAAGCCTAGTTTTGAAAAAAATATTTTTTTTAAACCTTTGGTCTGTGACCTTGGCACATAAAAACAGACAAACGCATTTTTGTTATTTTCGTATCACCCTCCTTTCAGTCGAGGGAATAAATGATCTGCTTACTTGTATCTCTGTACTGCACTGACTGTTCCAGGAATAATGTATGAAAAGAAAAGATATAATTTTCTATAAAACTTAACCAAATGTTTCAGATTAAGGGTGAACATTTTTCTTTTTGTTATATTCATTTTATTTCATCTAATTAGACTGACCAAAATATACTCAATCGTCTCCCATTATTAATTTTTATTGAGATAAATTTTAACAAAATTTCTATTTACAATAAAAGAAAATATTGATAAAAAGTTTTTGGAGCTACAAACGGTTCATTTATACGAAGATTAGTCAATTTACTACAAGTGAGACGTATAGCATCATTAGTAAAATTGTTTGTGACCAGAACGAGTGATTCATAATCGATATCAAGGTTTAACAAACAAGGCAAATGACAATATTTATCGATGAGAAATTGTTCAGCATAATCTGCATGAGCACCTTGAATATTAAGATAAATAAGATGAGAAAATTTGATCAATGATAATGATTTTTGCTTGTCTCTCTGTGGTTCTTTATTAATGATATTTATCTTTTTCAATAATGGAAAACTTTGAGATATAACTTTGAAGAAGTTATGCTCAAAAGGACAAAAGTCAATCATTAGCAAGGATTGAACGTGAACAAATATTTCACCTTGAAAAGAATTATTTAAAAAGTGATAAGATTTGAATTCATATGGAAATGAATAGTTATGACATTTACGTTGATTTTCTCTTGTAAATATTTCAACTTGTCAAGCAACTAATCCATATTCTTCTCTTCTAAAACTACGTTGAATATCTTCATTTGACGAAAAAACAATTCCAACATTCTTCTTATCTACATTTGTGTATATATTGAAAGTAAATTTGTTTAATCGTGACATATAAATAAGAATACCATCATATAATTGAATACCATCAATATAATTCTTGTTACTTCTTATTACTGACAGATATAATATCAATTCTTCAAGATTTATCATTCGTCTAATTAATGGAATAATTAAATTATCATATAAAAATGTGTGTGGATATGATGTTAACGAAAAATGTTTTAATTTGGGAAGCTTTTTCTATGAAACAAAAAAGAAAAATATTTAATTATAAAATTTGCTCTTCTTTTTTTCTTCTTCTTGAAAGATAAGAATTGACAATCATACTAACTATATTATCGATAGTTCCTGATGTCGATGAAATTAGTTTTATATTTATAATTAATGTTGATAAACAATTGAAACGTCCATCAAGTAGATAAAGACAATCATCGAAAGTCTCCACATTAATTTTCAATTCAGTTAATGTTGAAGATTTGAAATTTGTTGATAAGTCAAGGTACGGAACGTTGGTTGATTGTCGAATTGACAAAAACTTACTTTGTTTAATTGTTTACATAAAGATAATATCAAAGTAAATATAATCCAAAGTATTTCAGAAGATGATTGTCCTGTTGGCTTATCTTTAATACCAATTGTAAGACATGTAATTTGTTGATTGAGAAGAGTTCGAAGAATTGTATTATCTTCAATCGAGAAACAAAAGAAGAATAGAAAGAAATATTTATTACTTTATTAAATACTTTACTTGTTAAGTAATTGAAAAGAACTTTTTCTGAAAAATCTATAAGTGTTAATGAATAAAGTTGAGGATAATTGTTAGTGTGAAGGACACGTTCCATTGAATATTGTTCAACAATGAGTTCATTTATTAGATGAGATATTCGAAAATATTTTTACAAATTCTATCAAGAACTTGATTATCTATTGAGTAGATACGATCGTAAAATGATTTCATTGTCAAAGAAGTCATATCAAAATTACGAATATAAAATAGATCAAATACTAGTTGATTAAATCGCTCAGTAATATCGACAAATAAATATATAACATCAATCATATTTAATTTGTTAAAGATAATGAATAAAATTTCATTGGATAAATCGAGTATATTGTATTAATATTCATTCGACATATTCATGTTTAATTCATGTATTTCAATAGTCCCTTATATATACAGAAATATTTTCGCATTTGCTGTCGGAGAGAACAATGAAGAAGAAATACTCATTTTATAACAATAGGCTATAATTGATAGATGTCGATATTTTTCCATTCTATCGAGCATTTGTTTTCATTGAGAAGTCATTCGTCTGGTCATTCTTCTTTTGTCAGAATATTTTCCATCGTATTAAACATTTTTTATTATATATAAGTAATATGTTGATATGAAGAGTCACATTTAATTCAATCTTAAAAACTGGTAGAGAGATTTTGTGTGTGACAAAAGCCTACAGAATTTGATTTGGCATTATATCTGATGGACTAAAACTAATATTTAATTTGAATATTTTTAAATTTTGAGGTAAAATTCAATGTCAACATTTACTGTGCCATTTGACGATTCAAAATCAGTCACATGAGTATGGATAAACAATAGAAAACAGAAGATGATGATAATGACGTATATATTCAAGTATATTTATTAGGGGTAGGACAGTTCCATATTAGTTCCGTTCTTAGGAACTGTATTAACAGTTCTTTTGAATAGAACTGAACTGTACTAACAGTTCTTTGAAACGAACTGAACTGTATTAACAGTTCTTTGAATAGAACTGAACTGAACCAACAGTTCTTTGAATAGAACTGAACTGTACCGACAAGTTCAGTTCCTTTCAAAGAACTGTTATTTCAGTTCAGTTCTTTTCAGAGAACTGTTGTGAAAACTATTTTTTTGGAAATAAAAACAAATTTGAAACAAAACAGTTCTTTCAAAAGAACTGTTGAAACCGACCAGTTCCTCTGAAAGAACTGTTGATACAGTTCAGTTCCTTTCAAAGAACTGTTAGTACAGTTCAGTTCTATTCAAAGAACTGTTGGTTCAGTTCAGTTCCTATCAGAAGAACTGAACTGGTAGTTCTTTTGACCAGTTCATCCGAACTTGGAACTATGAACTGTCCTACCCCTAATATTTATTTTAAATAATAATCGTTTATCTTCTCAGCTTTTTCCTTTTGCTATTATTGCTAATAACCGACTATAAAAAACAGAAAAATCTTGATGATTTATGTCGATAAATTCGCATGGCGCAAACTTTGATATGCATCAGTTAGGGTGTGAATGTAGGTGCTAGGTCAATACAGTATCCATACCCACATCTACATTCTTCTGTATTCATAAAAGAACAAATAGAGACGTTATACGATTATAACTTAAAATTTTCAATTAACAATAAGCCATATTAATGAGAAAAAGTTATTAGCACATTTTTTATAAGATTAAAATGTCAAATATGATTTAGATACTTAATTATATTAGAAGCAGAATAAATAGCAACAAGTAACACTCGTCCGAAGACTCGCTTAGCTCTTTCTCGTAGAAATGCATCCTATTCACATTTACTGAAAAAAAACAATTGAAAACCGTTACAAATCGATTGTCGATGTTTTTTTGACCCTGCGGACACACAAGCAAACAATTTATGTCTACTGGATTCTGCTCTACGTGAAAGAGACTAATTGTTTTTCATTGTTTCAATTATATAGGTTATCTGTTGAAGAGAAAATTCACATATTCGTCTATCATATAATTTAGTCAAATGAGAGAATAAATGTTATTTAACATCGTTTGAACATACAGAAAACTTTTTTCGATGTTAAGAATATGTGTTGTATAAACAAAATGTAAGTTAGAGTTAGAAGTTGTATCCAAGTAATCTACATTCATATTGAAATTGTTATTTAATATTAAGCAAGTTTTTGGTTTATTTGTAGTTGTTTTCATCATTGTTTGGATCTATTTAATTATAAGTACATTATTGATGAATACTTTTAATATGTTTTGTACTTTTTTATCAGTGTTATTTTGTTACTTATGACAAAAATATGTGCAACTGACATATCATTATTGACTGATTATATTCTTTACATTTTTTTTTATAAAGAATAATAATAAAAAATAAGTCAGTATATTATTAGTTACTCTCTCTTGAGGGTAGGTGTGGGCGTGGGTGTAGATAGTTTGTTCCATCGACACCCACACCCACACCCTCAAGATGGTATATGGATTACGGTATTAAACGGCGAGAAATGACATTCGTTCACGGCCGTTTCGTGTACGAATTAAGCCGTTTTTTAGCCGTTTCATGCCTAAAACGGCGCCGGCAACGACGTTCAGACTCATCGACCTGGGGAAGCATTTCATGTTTGTATTTCATTTATTTATCTTGAAAATTATTTTGTTTATTTTTAATTAGGTTTTATTCAATTATAAACAAGTTTTAAATAAACCATTTGTTATTATTGGAACACAAATTCATTTACCAAGAGGTTTTGATGAAGAGGATCTTTCAGAGGAATTCGGTGTAACGTACAGTACATCAACAAAAGTAAAAAGAAGCAAAAAAACATTTATTTTTATAATAAAAAATTTTCTTTTTTCCTAGATTATCTATGGTCATTTAACTAATTTAAAATTGTATTTGTTAAATATGAAAGATATGGCTAGTTTTGGCGGTGCATTTCGATTTATTGCGACATATCTTAGAGAGACATAAAAACTTTGTTTTTTTTGTGTTTTTTTTGCAATAAACTGAATTCTTTTACTCTTTCTAGTTTACTCATCTCAATTGTAGTAACATCATTGTTATTTCAATTACCATCTTGAGGGTGTCGGTGTGTGAAAGAGAATCGATTTACACCCACCCTCACTTGATAATATTCTTTTTATTTTAAAAGAATATATTACAATATAAACATCTTTTATGGTTATGATTGCATATAATGATAGATTAATGAGCAGCTACATTCATTCTATTTGCTTTTCTTTTTCTTAAAAGAGCGACTTATCTGTGTTGATAAGTATGAAGAGAGTTTTATACTATCCATTTTTCTCTTCTAAGTGATGCATTAAAGATTTATTGGACAGCGCGAATTTTGCAGTACAGACTTTCGCAAGTGACTTTTGGCAATTGCCAAAAGTTGTGTTTTCGCTGGATTTTCGGCAAAATCAAAACTGAACTTTAGGCAATAGGCCAATAGTCCAGTTACGTTACGGCAAAAATCCAAAAAAAACAGAAATTTTGGCAATTGCCAAAAGTCTTAATTAGTGGGAAAATCATTAATTAATAATATTTCGTAAACTGTATTTTCGGCAGTTTTATGAGATGACCTGTTTGAAGAAAG